CTACATATTTAAGAACTTGTTTCATAAAACTATAGATTTAGTGTATTCGTTTATCCCATAACTATACATTTAGTATCTTCTTTTATCACAAAACTACATGTTTAGTGTCTTCATTATCACAAAACTACATGTTTTAAATGCTAAAATATGTAGTTTTGTGATAATGAAGACACTAAACTTGTAGTTTTGTGATAAATGAAGATATTAAATCTGTAGTTTTGTGAAACAAGTTCTTAAATCTGTAGTTTTGTGATGTATTGTGGAAAGTACCTATAGTTTTGTGATAAACGTAGACACTAAATCTGTAGTTTTGTGAAATAAGTTCTTAAATCTGTAGTTTTGTGATAGAATGTGCAAAATATATGCAATTTTATGAAATTTACTCCAAATTAATATGAAATATACCACTCCAAACGAAACATTCCAAGAAATATTCTCCTTGACGGTTGTTGGGCTCCACCCTTCCATAGTCCATGCATGCAAGTGGGCTGACTAAGGCTGCCAACTGTCTAAGTTAGGCAGTGGCTACTAGATCGAATAGTAAGAAAGGACTATCAAATGATAAGAAAGGACTTGTTAGGCTTGGTAAGTCCCACATATCGGTGATGAAAGAACTAAGACTGCATCTGAGTTGGTTAGGGACGCAGGAATGATATTAGGCATTAGTACATAATTAATTAAGTATTGAGTATTGTAAATTTTTTAAAAATGATTTTAAAAGAAATTTTATATAGAAAGTATTTAAAACACACACCATTTCATAATTTCAGAAATATGCTCACAATAAAAGAGTAGTGAATCTGAGAACATGTACAATGACAATCAATAGCAATCTCTTAGATTTGTTTATCAGGTAAGTCTACTAACATGGAAAAGAGGGGGCCGGAAGAGAAAGAAATATCGTTGTTACGTATGACAACGGCTTAATATCGATCCCTAGCATTTATAACTTTTACTTTATGAGAAAGGAGAAAAAGAAAACAAAGATAATAAAACGTAGTTTTAGTACAATAATTGTTAAAGTATTTTATCGTCCCAAATGTTAAGAGTAGGACTCTGTTCGGCGGTCATAGCGACTTGAAAAATATGCACTCTGTTCACAATTTCAAGGTGACCATGCTCTTACATGTATAAGATGTAATTGGGGAAAACCTGATTTCACCTTTTCTTTTCATTCATCTTTTTTATCGCTGATGAAACTCCTACTACTACGATTAAGGTGACAGTAGATAAGTGGGCTACTACATCTACATGCAAGCAGCAACATTCTGGAGTATTTTCATAGCAACATGCCAGCAATGATGTCTTGTTTCTATGTATGTTTGACCCCAAGTGACCAAGAAATTATGTTTGTTTGAACCCTAGTGATCTAGCACCGATGTCCTGCATCACGTACCATTATCCATCTGTTCTTTGCGCGTGTGGTAGATGTGGCTCCATGGATGATCTCTCTCATTCGGTGCAAGAATTTTGAAATGATATGCTTTCAATATATCCACAGTTTTTTTTTCTCTTATTCAGTGAAGAAGGTTTGAAATGATATGATTTCAGTATCTGGACTGTTCTTTTCTGATCTGAGTTGAACACTTGATCGTACCTGAATAGTGGACATGCTGCTAGAAGGGGGATTATTTATTGTTGAGTCCATGTCAACAAGTTGCCACAAACAAATATACTAGGAGGTGTGAATAGGAGCTTTCAAAAAGTCATGGAGAGAAGAGAAGAGAAGAGAGAAAAGGAAAGTGAGCTATAGATTTGTAGCCAACTACAGCACAGACTTCAATACGTCGTGTGTATATGAGAGGTGCGACCATATATTGTGTGAATAAGCTATTAGATTGACTATAGATGAATTTAAGTATACTCTCTCCGTACTCGTAAAGGAAGTCGTTTTGGGCAGCAACATGGTCTCCAAAATACAACTTTAACTTCTTGTTTCTATAAAAATATTTATTGAAAAATGATATATGTAACTTTTATGAAAGTATTTTTCAAGACAAATCTGTTCATATTATTTTTATATTTTTAAACTCAACAACTTAAGAGTTATTCATGATTTATATTCCCGATGTTTGACTTAAACATTATTCTAAACGACTTCCTTTATGATGAGGGAGTATACTACACCATTAATAGTACCATTAATAAGTTTAATTGAAGCATACATTAATAGTACTATTGAACTTGCTCTCATGGCGCTGGTTGGGTAGATGCTCAGCGCGTGGGTGCGCGTGCATATTGTGCCTGCTACCTCCGCATCTTCGGGGCGCCGTCGACCCGCGCCGCTGCGCTGGCACCGTCGCCAAGTAGACCGCGGTGATCGGCAGGATATAGCGCTGGGCTAGCTGGTGGCTGTCACGAGGACGCACTCTTAACGTAACTTTGTTTACGAGTTGTTGTGACAAAACACTGAAGATTTGATCCACGTTGTTGTATAAGAGTAAGGATAATAATATAGTCCACTTTCTACTATTAGCCTATACTAAAATCAGTTAGCTATAATTTTTTTTCTTCTATCTTTATCTCTCACTTATACATTTAATGTATTTGTCTTGGAGTTTGTGTTAAGCTAGGTTTTGTATGAGAGCCAACACCCTTCTCTTTTGTTTACCTCTCTCCTCCACATAATCTTATAGTAGGCTTATAACTCACTATTATACTTGCTCTGAGAGCAAGTACAATAGCAGGCTATTAGCCAGCTATAAACATTTTTTAATAAGATAAACAATGAGAGGGAATAGCAGCGGACTACAGATCTGTAGCCAGCTGCAGCACGGACTCCAAGACACACTGTGTATGACAGGTGGGACCATATATTAATAGTATAGTAAGCAACTATTGTATGAATTGACTATTAGATTGGCTATAGATGAATTAGAGTTAGTAGTGGGCTGTACTATTAGACTTGCTCTAAGTGGCGTTCATCATGTAGACATGATTTTTACACCACGCCGTAGCCGAGGCCGCTTTATTATAGCCGGGGACGGTTGATCGAGGACAACGTGCATGGGCCGGGCCGGCTGGAGAAGGACCAAAACTGTCGTCCCATGGATCTATGGGCCTCGTTGACATCCGCATATGCTCTGCCTGGCCTGGTCACGCACAACCTCCCTCACCCTGACTGCGTACGCAACGGCACGCACTACCGTCACCATCGTCACATCGTGCGGACTGCTGATGAGCAACGTTACCTTTGCCAATTACCAGCGCGCTCCTGTCTTGTGTGGTGCAAATCACTCAGCGCGTGAGCTGTGAGCGCAAATAGCTGCTCACCTAGAGCGTACGACAACGTACGTATCAATACGTGTCTGCACGCGGTAGAAGAATAAGTTTAGCTGCAAGTCTCCAGCAAACGTACGTACAAGGTCTCTTTGCAAATTATTGGGATCTCAATAATTCTATCTGGTGCCCTAGGTGCCGCTCAATTGTTCAACCGCTCGATCGGGGTTGTCGTACTCGTACTAGCTACGTGCGTACATGCCCAAAAACGTTGCACGACGATGGTGAAGCCCAAAAAACGTTGTACCGATCGAGCATGTACCGTTCAGCACGTACGCTATAGCTTCAATTTCATGTCGCCATCGACCGAGAGCACCGCCGCTCGCGAGGCGACGACGAATTAATAATCGAACAAACCACATGGCGTGACACACAGCCACGCAGGTTAGCTAGCGGCGGGCGCCGGACGGACGAACCTTTTTCCAAGCTCTGTGGGGCGATCACGACGAAATACACAACGATCCATCTAGCTAAAAGGATCAGGCCGGACAGGGAGTCCTGCCGAGACTGCTCATAGCTCACATGGCTAGAACTCAACGGCAAGGACAAATTGGCAACGGCTCAATCGAACCACATGTATAGCATCATATACGACTCTCCGTCTATAGCTAGCTAGTGTGTGAATACTATAGTAGTATGATATCGATGTTCCTTACAGCTACTTAATTCACGCTTTAATCATGCTTGATTACCGGATGAAAGCAACGACTATATACAAAGTGTTAAATAGGTGCAAATTGCTTAGTTAGTTACAAATTGAGTCACAATTTTCTAAGCTGATGATAAGAATCCATGTCCCCATGTCAAGAAAAAAAAAAGAAAGGGCGCAGCCGCAGGCGCACAGCTTTGCTCTGCTTGGTAGTTTGGTGAAATGCTCTTTCAGTTTCAGCTACGCAGGAATGTCAACTGGCTCTCTTTCAGCTTCAATTTAGTCGAGAACGACACGTACGCCCAAGGGAAAAAAAGATTGACCAATGACCAGTACCAACGTAGTAGGTACCGACCGGTTTCTCCATAAACCGTAGAAGAACATTTCTTATCAACATGGAGCGGCCTGTCACGTTCTAGCTAGCAAAGCTGCATGCTGCAGCCAAATCCAAGAATCAAAATGAAATCTTTGCAACCAGTAGCTAGCTAACCATATGGTCCATATCCATCCAATGCAATCCATTCAATCAACAATACTCTCTTGGAAATATCTGTATGCGTGCTTCCGTCTCACCATCTAGGTGCAGTCTGATCCTCATAAGTCATACTCTTGTGGACACACCACTCCTAGGATGATAGCATACCAGGCACGCATTGAAGTGAGCTTGTTGCTTCCAGATTTTCTGATTATTGGCACATTAATCTCCAAGGTTCAAACTTCGGAGATTCCATGAAATGAAAGAACTGAAAAGTAAACGGGAGAAATCATTAGCAGTATACTCCCTCCATTTCATAAAAAATAAATAACCGAATATAATATATTCTAATACTACGAATCTTGATAAAAATAGAGACGGAGTCTATCCCCAATGCTTTCTAAAAGATGTTTGAACCCACGTGGAAGAACTAAATGCCACCAGTTTTAGCTGCAGTCGTGTGCAGATCCCCCTCGCTGCAGTACTGCATCGCGTTGCATGCAGTGTTGCTCTCCAACTTCGCGTGCGCCGCGCCGCACGCAAGAATTTCACGAAAACAACAGCGCAGTTCTCTCGCCCTTTTATACAGCTGCGGGTTCGCCCGCGACGCCAAAAACTAGCAAACTGCACGACTCGCGCGTGCTCTGCTCGCTTCTCTGTTCCGTTCGCTCCACGGTTCTCTGCTCCCCCCTCCGTCGCGTCGCGTGCAGGAGGATGGCCATTGGCGGAGCAGCGCCGCCGCACCCGCCCCGTGGCGGCGGCGGCGGCTCGCCGGAGGACAGCAGCACCGCGCGGCGGCCGGACTTCGAGCAGCCCCTCCTCCAGGCCCACGCCGCCGTGCCGGCCCGCGGGAAGCAGGAGCCGGTGGAGCGGGACCACGAGGCGCAGTGCTCGCCGGAGGCCGACGGCGACGGCGCCACCTTCGTGCGCACCTGCTTCAATGGCCTCAACGCGCTGTCAGGCGAGTACAAGAAACACTCGATATTTGGTCGTAGGAGCTGTTCGTCCGGTCTGTTTAACTCGATTAATCTTGATCTCTTGGGGTTCAGGCGTTGGGCTGCTGTCGATTCCGTACGCCTTGTCGGAGGGAGGGTGGCTGAGCCTGGTGCTCCTGCTCGCCGTCGCCATGGTCTGCTGCTACACCGGCCTCCTCCTGCGGCGGTGCATGGCCGCGTCGCCGGCCGTTCGGGGTTACCCGGACATCGGCGCGCTGGCGTTCGGGGCCAAGGGCCGGCTCGCCGTGTCGGCGTTCCTCTACGCCGAGCTCTACCTCGTCGCCATCGGGTTCCTGATACTGGAGGGGGACAACCTGGACAAGCTGTTCCCGGGCACCAGCCTCGCCGTCGGCGGGCTCGTGGTGTCCGGGAAGCAGCTGTTCGTCGTGGTCGTCGCCGTCGTCATCCTGCCGACGACGTGGCTGAGGAGCCTCGCCGTGCTCGCCTACGTGTCGGCCAGCGGCGTGCTCGCGTCCGTCGTCGTGGTGTTCTGCGTGCTGTGGGCGGCGGTGTTCGACGGCGTCGGGTTCCACGGGAAGGGGAGGATGCTGAATGTCAGTGGCCTGCCTACTGCTCTTGGCCTGTACACCTTCTGCTACTGCGGTCATGCCATATTCCCCACGCTCTGCAACTCCATGCAGGAAAAGGACAAGTTCTCCAGGGTGAGCTGCCCACTGTTTTCACTTTTGATGTCACTGAACTACTGAAGGCTTGACTGGTGAATTTGGGTTCTTTTTATTTCATTTAACTTTATTTATCTGATATTGAACTCTGAAGTAACCTTGAATATATTGAGTAGTAAAACAGTCACGCACATTGCAGCATCGAATAATTCATGTCAAGCTCAACAATGCCAAGTTGCATCAAATAGCTGTTAAGTGTCTGTTGCCACATATTATTGCTTGACAAAAAGAAATGCTTTAATTCTCATATGAACTGTGGAATTATGCAATGAATCTGACACTATATAGTTGATAGCTATCTGAAAATGAAAATGTCTGACGATGACTGAACAGTAGTACAATATCCAACGCAACTACTTCCTATCCGTCCTAGGATAATGAATCTGATAGAACCTTTGTTCAAATTCTTTGTTCTAGGTTGGGTCAAATCTCATACTAGTTTGCGACATTTTTGGGTGGAGGTAGTAAAAATTAACTCTTTATTTTCTTTTTTTTTTAACTTTGGACAGTACTCCTACAGTAGCTCATTTTACTACCCCTGACTGACTGAACTGTCTGTCTTCTACGGTTCTACCTGCATATAGGTACTGGTCATATGCTTCGTGGCGTGCACTGTCAACTACGGATCCATGGCCATACTCGGCTACCTCATGTACGGCGACGACGTCAAATCTCAGGTGACACTGAACCTCCCGGAGGGAAAGATCAGCTCGAAGCTGGCGATCTACACGACGCTGATCAACCCGTTCTCCAAGTACGCCCTGATGGTGACCCCGGTCGCGACGGCGATCGAGGAGAAGCTGCTCGCCGGCAACAAGAGGTCCGTCAACGTGCTGATCAGGACCCTCATCGTCGTCAGCACGGTGGTGATCGCCCTCACGGTGCCCTTCTTCGGCCACCTCATGGCGCTCGTCGGCTCGCTGCTCAGCGTCATGGCCTCCATGCTGCTCCCCTGCATCTGCTACCTCAAGATCTTCGGCCTGACGCGATGCGGCAGGGGCGAGACCCTGCTGATCGCCGCGATCATCGTGCTCGGTTCGTTGGTTGCCGCGACGGGTACGTACTCTTCTCTGAAGAAGATTTTCTATGAGTTTTGAAGTCAAGAGATGCACATTAGGCATGGAAACACCGATGTCCGAATTTGTGTACGTTTTTGTAGCAACGCAATTCCGTAATGTACCTCAATGTCAGCAGTCAGCAGAGTAATCTGATTAAATCCTGAGATTCTGTAGTGGAGGCAAGGTAGTACAGATAACGAGGATTAGAGTGCTTTAATTCGGGATCGTAAGTATGTTTGAGCTATGGGAGCTATTGGCCTTGTATCTGTATCTCTGTTGTCAGAAATAGTACAGTTAGTCAAAATGCCAAATGATATTTGTAGGATATCAGCACTCCATCTGAATCTGTTGTATCTTGTAAGAACTTGAATGTATTGAAGCATTTTATTGCAGCTGTGTTAATTTTGTTGCTCATTGCTTTAAAATATTTTTTTTGCCGGGCATCGCTTTTAAATATTTTGGGCTGAACACTAGCAGATCAAGATTATCTCTTCGGGAAAAAAAAAAGAACACTCGGAGTAAATTAAGTACCAATTTAGGTGGATTTTATCCAACAATTTATGTTTTCATGATACTGATTTTTTTATTCAAAAGTTCAGCCGAAGATAAAACTCATAGAGAACCATCGACTTATGTTTCAGCTAACGAAACAAAGTATATCTGTATGTATTCAGAAGCAAAGCAAAGAGTAACAGTCACACAGACCAGATATCAGGATGATAAGTGGAAGCTACAACAAGGACTATGCAGTTCATCGTGTTAAGGAAGAAGGGTACATACAGAGATACAAGTAGTCATCTACTAATACAATTTGATTGGTAACAAGCATCAGCAATTGCAGGATTACATGACCCAACCATCACCAAGTCACCAAGATGGCATTCATAGTTCGGAAAGGATTAGTTTTTGCTTGCAAAAGCTATTCCTTTTCCAACTAGTGGCTACTCTACACTTCTACAGGACATGAGGTACAGAAAAACGGAAGCAAAGAATCGGAAACGAGCTGCAGAGAAGGGGAACCCCCAAACCAAGTCGCCGCTGACACGCAGAAAATCAGAGCGAGATGAAGCCCTCCTTGACGAAGAGCGCGAAGAGGAGGACGACGAAGCCGGCGGCGATGCACTGCGTGCTCGACACCAGCGTCTGCTCGTACGCCAGCAGCGTCACGGCGGCGCCGACGCACCCGATCAGGAACCCGCTCAGATTCCGGTCCATGCCGGCCAGCCGCTCGCCCGCCTCCTCGCCGCTCGTCGATCCCTGCTCCGCCCTCGGCTACGGATGCCGTGTGCTGCTGCGAGTCCACGGGACAGAGGCTGGGGGCGGGGATTAAAGCTGCGAGGTCAACGGCTTTGGTGGCGATGAGAGGGCATGGAATTGGAAGCTAAAGCTTATGGAGGGTTTGGAAGGTCGCCGATGTCGTTTTCGCGGCTGGGAAGCGTCATTTGCGGTTGCGGATGGAGCTCACGAGTTTCTCAATCTCAACGCCCGTTTGTTTGGTGTTATAGTTTGCGAATCAGAGCGGAATTTTAATCGGGAAAAGTGCGTTGTTTTTTTTTTTTGAACTTAAAAGTGCGTTGTTTAACCACGTGATGATTTCGTTTGATCTCGGTACGTAAGGTCAAGAATGAATGCGCCTAATTTTATTTATTTTTCGTTGGGCCAGAACAGGATTGCGGCTCGAGTGCGGGCCCATATAAGATGGGCCGTGACGAAATTCCGGCCGACGCGCGACCCCATACATCTTGGACCTGAACAGGATCCGGGCCTCCTTGTGGCCCATGATGTTCAGGTCCATATGAGCTGGGCTGGAGCGTTTTAAATCGATCGTGGAGACGGGCACTCGAAGCAAGTAGGTTAACATGAGATGGCAAGCACTGTCCAGACTCCAGAAAGTATGTCCCTGCATTTGAGGAAACTGCTGTATGCCTTCATCAAATACAGCACATGCACATCGCATCGGTGTGATCTTTGAACTGCTTCAACAATAATTCTCATGAAACCAACTCGCTACGCAGCCTTAAATTACCGAAGAAATTAAAGAATTTTGCATCATTGTGCAGGGGAGAGCCAGGAGCCTTACCAAGTCCAGATTTTCAGGGGGTGCCAAAAGTAGACAAAAGACTAGGAGTATCGAGTATCGACATTACACTGTGGGTTTGGAGCTAAAGAGGGCTTAGTTCAAGCAGAAATATTTGCGACTTGGTACGTTGCGTCCCATAGCCTCACTCGAGCAAGTAAGAGCAGGTGCAGAGTCAACCAATGGCAAGGCGTGCTTTAGTTGGTGTCAACAATGAATTGTCAAAGCCACCTAAATCAACACCCTTGCCCCGTGCTGCATGATTGACCAAACAGACCATGTTGGTTTTGTTACCGGAAATAAATCTTCTTTTGCCAAGTATAAGAAGGTCTTGCCACATGCAGGTTCTCTCAAGCAATAAGCAATTAATCAGGCATTCTCACACCTCTGAGTTGCAACGATCGCTTAGATTTAGCAACCAAAATTGCAGTAGTTAATTGTTGTTGCCACACTCAAGCTAGCTAGGTGTACTAGCAGCTGCTTGCTGTTCGTGGTGCGTACGTGTCATGACGAAGGACGGATCAGTGATGGAGCACGGGGAGATCAGCTCGAAGGCGCCCCTGGTGGCGCCGGTGGCGGCCGGCGTGAACCGCGCCGTCGCGGTGGTGGACACATTCCTCCGGTTCATCGCCATCATCGGCACGATCGGCAGCGCCATCGCCATGGGCACCACCAACGAGACGCTCCCCTTCTTCACGCAGTTCATCCAGTTCGAGGCCAAGTACAGCGACCTCCCGTCCTTCACGTAAGCCATCGATCCGCTATACACATGATGCCACTCACAGCTCAGGGTCAATAGTATCTGTGTTCTGCTGCAAGGCGCAGGAAGTTTGATGCAGCTAGTTCGATTTTTTGCATGCACGGCCGGACGGACAGGTTCTTCGTGGCGGCGAACGCGGTGGTGTGCACGTACCTGGTGCTGTCCATCCCGCTGTCCATCGTGCACATCCTCAGGCCCAGGGCGCGGTACAGCCGGCTGTTCCTCGTCTTCTTCGACACGGTGAGGAAATAACGACATATATCGACGCTGACTACATGTTTGTTGCTAGAAATTGCTCTTGTTCGTGATGGATATACGTATGTGTGATGTGCATATATATATGCACAGGCGATGCTGGCTCTGCTGACGGCGGGCGCGTCGGCGGCGGCGGCGATCGTGTACCTGGCGCACAAGGGCAACGTGCGGGCAAACTGGTTCTCCATCTGCCAGCAGTTCGACTCCTTCTGCGAGCGCATCTCCGGCTCGCTCATCGGCTCCTTCGCCGCCATGGTCCTGCTCGTCGTCCTCATCACCCTCTCCGCGTTCGCGCTCGCAAGGCGCCACTGATCATAGACGTACGTACGTACGATACGACGACCACCATCCTGCAGCCAGCAGCCCGGCCGATCGACCAGCGCGATCCATCGTGCGTGCACCAATATTAATGCACGTCTTTTTTGTTCCTTTGCTTCCCTAATTTAATTAGCTCTGTGTGTGTTTCCTTTCATAAATGTATAAGCAAGCCCGTTCGATATCTTTGATACAGTTTGGATGTGGAACTCTTAGCATAAACTGTCCAAATTGTGACTGTGGAACGGAAAAATTGTGTGAAAGTGTAAGGCCTGCCTGGAAACCCGGTTTTGGGCCGTAGAAAGAAAACCGGCCCGTAAGTTTTGGACCGTAATTGTGCTTGTATGGGCTGTTTTGGTTGACTTCACATTTGCCACTCTATTCCCCAAACCCACCCACCTCCTCCCCTTTCTCGCGAAGAGAACGACGCACGCAGGCGTCGCCGTCGGCGAGCGGCGGCGGCGGACGGTGGACGGCGCGTGCGTAGCGAGCAGGGTGCGTGAGGACGGAGCTAAGCTAGCTGCTGACTAGAAGGTGATGCAACCACTCGAGCACAGAGAATATTGAGTGGATTCCTCCCTCCTCGCCCTCTGCTCGACGGGCGGTGCGTTTCTCTGTCGCTCCCATCCCCAGCCTCCACCTCCGCCTTGCTTCTCCTGAAATCCGGCCGTCCAGATCTCTGCCGCCGCAGCACCGCTCCACTCCGAGCTCCGGCGAACAGCCGGCAAATCCTAAACCCTAGACAGTGAGGGGTTGGAGCGGCGCCCGCCGCGGCGGACCGGACTGGCGGAGGGCGGGCGATTCGCGCGACGGCCGGCGTGTGCGGCGGCGACTGCGGGTCTGCGGCGCGGCGGCGGGCGCGGCTTGGCGTTGGCGGCCGGGTGGCCGGGGTTAGTAAAGGAAGAGGAAGAAGCTGAGCGCCAGATACCAGGCCGCCCACAAGGACCCACTGCTGGACTTCAACGACTGGAGGAAGAAAGGAGGCGTGCCCGAGGTGAAGCGGTTTGCAGGTAAACATCTTCCTGTTTTTAGTCCCTTTTGTTTATTGCACACATACAATTAACAATTAGCAAGTTTGTATCTAGTGGGAAGGATTTCTGCGACTAGTAAGAATACTCTGCTTCAACGTAGTCCTCTCGTTGATTAACGAAAATATATGGATTCTATTGGTCAATTGCAATAGTTTCAGTATCCATATGAACAGAAACTAGAGGATCTTTATCTTCTACCTTCATGTCAAGTAGCAAATTGCTGCAGTTTGCAGCTTATATTTCGATTGGGGAACCAGTTTTGTAATGTCTTCATATGTACAAAGAACCACGTGCCAGCCAAATGAGTCGTGGGCAGACAAGGGAATTATTAGTGTGTTATACTATACAAGCTAATTTTTAGGCTATTAGGTGTATGAACAATTTTTTTTTACCCCTTGTCATTTCGAATACACAAGTTCAAAAAGCTGGGTCCGCCACTGTGTCCCACTCCGGTCTCTGGGTGCCGTCGAGTCTGTGCTCCCCGTCTCTCCGAGCATGTGGCGCCTGCTAGCCGACGAGGACCCCAACTAGGTGTTGCAACAAGCCGATCTCTCTTGCCTCTTGCCCTGCCTCTAGGTCTCAAACCTCTCATTTAGTGATTTTAGTTATTTTCATTCTTTAGTTTGTTCACTTTCAATTTTCAAATGCCTAGATCAAGACAAGTACAGATCGATTCGATTTTTTTTTAAAAAAAAACTGTAGAGAGAATTTGTAGATGACCAACTTGAGATAATGATGTGATTTTATAGTCCTTAAGGCTAACTTGAGACTACCGATGTGAGAGGGGATCCACATTTCCTACATTGTAATGATCTTAGTAATCTTGCTGTGCTGTGGAAGTGTGAAAATGATTCAGAGTGAGAAATATGAGAACCAAGGTTACTAAGAAACCACTTGCTAGTACTGTATTTTTTTCTTAATGAAACCTGCTGGCATTAACTTGGTTTTTCTACCCACATCTTCAATATGCGGGATTTTGGTAAAAAAAATTTCTTTGTAAGATCATGATATAGAGGATTTGATTTTAGGATTCTTTTGTCATTTTAGGATATGATAAGTGCTGAACTAGAGCATATTATAGGTCTGAGAAATAATTTGTACTTCAATATCTCAGCATGGTTAAGTTCGCATTCTTTCCATCATACTTTACGGGTAGTATATTTATGATTTGTGATAACAACTAGGCTTGGCTCGGGGCTTGGCGAAATCCTGGGTCCGCCACTGGCCACAAGGGGCACTTATGAGATCTAAGTTGTAAAGCAACTGGCTTGTTGAGTAAAATCACCAAGCTATTTCATTGTTCTCAAGAATTCTCTCTCTGCAACCTGCAGCTCTTATCATGCAGCAATGGTCTCAACATTGTTTGAGTAAATTCCCTGTGTACCCCTGAAAACTCACTCAATCCCTTTCATACCCCTAAAATTTACCCGACCCCTTCTATACCCTTGAAATTTCAATTTGATCCCTTCCATGCCCCTACCGTTACATTTTCCATCATTTTACTGTTACGTTTGGTTGCATATGTCTTTTTTGCCCTTGATGCTTTAGGTTTAAATATAAGCTTCAAAAATAATTGAAAATTTTGTTTGAGTGCACATCGTGTGCATTTTATAAAACTAATGAGACTAAATAATTAGTGCAGAAAATTTTGACATAAATTTTGAAAATAAAATAAATGTAAAAAATTAAAATTTTTATTTGAAATTTTAATAGGACAATGGATTTTTTTATCAGGAGCATTCATAAAAAAAATGTTGTGAACATTGGTATACCTATCTTTATATGAATGCTCCTCATTTTTATGACCTTTTTTTTAAAAAATAAATACGTATTTTTTATTTCATTATCTAAAAATATTTTTTTGGGATAAATAATGCATCGCACAACAAACTCATAACTATAATAGTCTCATGCGAGAAGCTTTTATATTTTTAATAATGTAATTCATGAATTTCTTTGTTCATCCAAGGGTAAAATGGTCATTTTTATAGAAAATACACGGTCAACTAACGGTCAACTGACGGGAGGGGTATGCAAGGGATCAAAATCAAATTTTGGGGGTATATAAGGAAGTAAGCAAAATTCAGGGGTATAGAAGGGATTAGGAAAAATTTCAGGGGTATATAAGGGATTTTCTCACATTGTTTATGCATCGAGTGCCGTGTGCTAAAATTTATTTGTGTTGTCTGTTCACACGTTTAGCAATTCCTTGTTTGCAGAAGCATAACAGCAGTCTAGCTTGACAACAATGTCAGTCCTTCGCTCCATTCTCCCGACAGTAGCAAGAAACAATGGTTGGAGATGCTTTGCTACTGGGTTTCCTTCCGATACTATAGCAGAGCTCAATAAGGTGAGGGATTTGATCTCTATCTCTGCCCTGAATATTTCCTTTTGCAGCTATGGTTTTGGTGTTACTGACATGAACATGTATGTTTGTGGCTTGGTGATTTGTTTAATGGCTGCTATAAAACCCTTTTTTTTCTCATTTGGTGTTACTGACATGAAGCTCACTGAAACTGAGTATGATGTATATGACCTCATCGATATCTAATTGGGATTTCAATATCATTGTGTTGGGTTAATCTAATGTTCATTTTTTATTTTGAACAAACGCAACCACATGATTTTGAATACAGATCACATTGATTATTGTTTGTTGAGAGTGGAAATAGAGTTTTTAACTGAAACTAAACTGTCTATTGCTCATACTCCTATATACCTGAACTGTTACCTGATCAGATAGTTTCTAATATATGCCAGAGCTGTAAGCTGGTGCTTATGTATTCGACCACTTAATTGAACTAGTAATGTAAACTATATGATTTTTACAAGTAAACTCCACTACAGCAGGAACAAAATAGTCGGATCTTAACATGTCCTGATGCACTTTTGAGTTCTTGCCAATTTTTATCCATACTACAATGATGCACAATATAGCTTTTTTTTACTTTACAATTTTGTGCATGATTTAGAACTTACCGTCTCAATTAATTGATATAATTTAGAAAGCAAAAGTAAAATCTAAATGCAGATATGTAACTTGGTGTTGTGCAGCATCGTCATAAAACATCTCCATCTAGTTTATTTATCATTTTTCATTAAAATAAATTATTAATTATCTTGACATTTGCAATACCAGGAAATGGAATCTGTGTTTGGTGAATCTCCTTCACCCAGTCCTTTAGGTTCAACTCCTCAGCAACCAGCAAGGCCCACTAATGGATCAGGGGATGGACAACCAATGCTTACCCATACTGATAGCAGTGGCCAGGCAAAGATGGTTGATGTCTCATCCAAGCATGACAGCACAAGAGTTGCTATAGCCACATGCAGGGTCTTGCTAGGCCAGGAGGCATTTGATTTGGTAGCATCAAACAAGATTGCCAAAGGAGATGTTCTAACTGTTGCAAAGATTGCTGGAATAACTGGTGCAAAGCAAACCAGCAACCTCATACCGCTGTGCCACAACCTTAATCTATCCCATGTTCGTGTTGATCTTACTCTTAACGAAGAAGATTCTAGTGTTATGATAGAAGGAGAAGCTTCAACCAGTGGCAAGACAGGGGTTGAGATGGAAGCAATGACAGCAGTTGCCATTGCTGGTCTCACAGTCTATGACATGTGCAAAGCTGCTTCAAAGAACATATGCATAACAGATATCTGTCTCCAGCACAAATCTGGTGGAAAGAGTGGAAGCTGGTCCAGAAGTTAGACATTTATGTGAATCACAAGAATGAATTGGGTACCAAATTTCATAACCACCATACCAATAGGTTCTGAGGCTTCAATAAATGTTTGTTGGAATATTTTTACTTCTAGTAATCGGATTAATTTTACTCTCTAATATCGCACAATGCACTGTTCAATTATTTTAGGATGACTGGATATATATTACCTGATGTGAAATGCATCTTTTCCCTGATGTAGTATCAGTTCTTCATCACTTATTACTGCATATTATATAACGTTATGAAGTGCTATGCACATGACTTATCAACATAAGGTAGATAGCAATCAAGGTAACTATAGTGAGATATTTATGGTACTGTGTTGGAAGAGTTTTAGGTGCAGAAACATATAGGTTTTAGTTGTACATTAGATATAGTTCGCAGAATTATAATGTTGATAGTAGTATCGATCTGAGGGTACTTTTTTTTTAATGTTTCGTTACAATGTGGTAGAATGTATTTCTTCCATAAACACATGGGCAATAAAGTGAAACACAGGAAATCAAGAATGATCGGTCTCCTACAGTTTTCTTTGTCTGCACTTCAGTCAACTTAATCTGTTGCATAATACTTTAGATGGCATTGCTTTTGAACATGACATGTTTATATGCCATGTCAGATGATAAAAAAATGCATTAGTTAAAGTCTTCAATCAGTATAGCCAACTAGCTGATAAATCGTGACATCTTAATCTTAATCTTCATCTTGACAACCTTATTATACTTGGACATACATCTTGTATGGACTCTTTTTGTATTGAACCCTTCGCCCAAAAACTCAGGAGCTGGAAATCCTAATAATGAACAACAGAAGGTAATAATTTGCTTTCATTGAATGACGCATGCAAGGTTTCAAACATCCAAACTTCTCGGCCTAGTTCCTATCAATATGATGATGTTATTGCTTATTTGCAGGCAGTGACAAAATTGTTGTCCTGACCGTGCCTAATTCTTTAAGTGGTATCGTATTTGCATTTGGTTATTTTGATAATCTTATCACTTTCTGATGATGCAGGGAAAACATTTTTATCTTGATGTGCTTAAACATGACGATTTTTAAACCTATTGGCCGGACATGCTAGAGGTGAGACAATGACTCAGGGAAGGGACGACAGAACTGACATAGCACATCAAAATCATTTCTACGTGATGTTTAGCTGACCATTTTCTTCTCTAGTTACACAATGTACATAACACTTGTGAATGGTATGGAACTTTTAGTTTATACAGAACAGATCTAAACGGACCGTGACATATTGACATCACCCTGGAGTAGTTGGGACTTGGTTTTTTTTTTGTTCTTTTCTCTTCTAAATTTTGACAAATGAACACCTGGATGGAAGGTTTGAGTAATATATAATGAGCTAGGCATATTGTATGGCATGCAGGTTTTGCACTAGTTGGCTGCTCATCTCCTGTAATCTGGCCACCGTAGCCATTGACTCGATTTGGAGCCGACAATATATAGAACATCTGACATTCCAATTCTTTATTATCTTCCCAACAGATCGGCTATTGAAAATGTATCCTTTTTCTCTGATGATGGCATCAGAAGAGGTCAATTTCTGCGCGGCGTCGTTCCAACCACTCAGAAATAGTTCTTTTGGCCAGCGAGAGTAAGCAGCTATAAGCATATGAGATATGCAACAAGCACATTTTTGGTCAATGATCCCTGGTCACCTGGTGTCTGCTTCCCTAACAGATCTTGTGGATCTTGATTTGACCAGCATTTCAGGATAGTGAGTACAATTTTCTCTCGTATTTATTAATATTTCAGCATTATGAGTCATATATGAACAACATATATTTCTGACTTCTTATGCATGAACATTATGCTGTCTGTCTGCAAAGAATTGAATAGACCTTGTTGGTACAACAATACTAACTAGTGCTCCTTTTATTTTAAACCGAGCAAACAGCACATAATTGATCTAGAAAGATGTCTTTGCCTAAAGCATAGAGAGAGAGAGATCCAAGCACTTGGCCTTCTTTCCTTTTCTGCTATTGGTTGTTGACAACCTAACATTAGCATCTTGTCATGTCAGTCGAGTGATTCCCTGGTTCCTTCACCCAGAATTATCAGGTGCTACTGGCTTGATATGGACATATGGTCTATCTGAATCTCAATTAAGAGAGTTAAGTATAAAAGCCCTTATGGAAAAGTTGACAGATGTGATGAGAAAGTGCTGCCACGTCAAATAGGATATGATTATAAAGGGGCCAAACTTATCAGAATGTTGCACCGGGGGGTTTGGCGAAACTAATGAAATACATATCTGTGCGTGCTACAAGACGAGAGACGTGATGATTCGAAAAAGGAATCGAGTCAAAAATGCATGCTATGAACACCTATATCGTTAAAGAAACAAAGTTCTCACTGAAAGCACTCGTGTCCTTTCTGATCGGCATGTGAATGACAACATATTGACAGTTGCATTATGATGGCATTAGCAGCAACCGTATTCACATCTCAGCCATATTGTTTTGTAGCCACATTTTTGCAACACTTGAGTTTGGTATTGGGATTTGCATGGTTTGATCCACAATTTGTTGTCATGCTAGCATACTTGTAGAAACTTTGCTCTGCCAGAATCTGGCTAACTTGACGCGACCGAATTGGACGCCAAATATAAAAAAAATGTCTGTGTTCAGTGGTACCAAAGCAGCCACCTAAACAATTCTACTCTTGTTCTTTTCAGAAAGCCGGAAAATCTGACAGTGCATCAGCCTGCCCATATATCAGGTATTCCTACATGTTATTTGACAGCCTAAAATATGTCCACAATTTTTCAACGCCTAATCCGATCCGTGGCATGAGGTGATAATCAGTAGTTTTATGGATTAACAACTCAGAGCTATAGTATACTACATTTTTTCTGAAGGACGCGTGGAAGTCTACAATTCCCTAAGAGTCACGAGTACAATCACCTATGGGGCATTTTTCTACGTACGTGCAATATCATATACCCACAAGAAAACGTACGTGCGCACACATGGCAACGAAGCATTTGCCCAAACCAATCAGCACGACGGAAAAGAAATCAGCAAGCGAACGAGAAGCAATGCAACCACGACAAAGCAGCAGATATCATTCTATAACGAAAACGTCCCCGTCGAAACGGAACGGGGCAAGCCTACGTACCCGGCCACCTCAACATGCCAAAAGTCGTAAGTACGCGTGATGCCATATCCCCCCCCCCCCCCCCCCGGGGTTATTTTTTGATTCGCCATGCACTATCGTGACACCAAGCCGATCTGGCAGTCTGAGCCGTTCAACCGGCGGGAGAGGGGGAAAAAAGAGAGAAGAATCGGCCCCGCGCCCCGCTACGTAGCCGGGTGGCACCCATGGTGATTGGCGATGCGAGTGCCGTGCGTGCGCGCGTGAGAAGCGGGGATTATTTTTTCTTTCATTTTTTCCCGGTGGATGTGGACATCGACCGGTAAGAGAGACGACCGTGAGATCCCCCGCACGGGCGGGACTCCTCTCTCTCCGCGCGCGCGCGCGCGGCTGCCACGACACGCGTCGCGGTGGTCGCCCACACCGAGAAAGGAAACCCGTGGCGCTCGCGTGATCGATCGCCTACTACACGCCTCCCGCTGTGACCTGCCCGTTTCGGCGTGCCCGGCTCCTTGCCGCGCGAAAGGGGCGCGCGCGCGCGGCCGCGCGTGAGCAACACCGGGTGATCGGCGGCCGTGGTGCGTGTGCTAGCGTTTTCTCGGCGGAAGTCGATCGGCGTATCGGCGCGCGCGCGCGGCTGCGCGGAGGAATCGATCGACCGTGACGCGTACGTCCGTGTCGGGCTTTGTTTGCTTGCAGGAGGGTTACGTTGTTTGGTCGACGGACGCGATCACGCGACTGTGTTAGTACGATAAACACTTGTCACGTAGGTACAAAATAAATTAGCGAAGACGCGTAAAAGTTTCCAACGTACGGTGGTGACAAAACACCATTAGGCTGGCCTGGCCCTGAACGTACGGGAATATACGTTGCAATGTGAGTGAGGATCGGACATAGCTTTCTCTGTCTATCCCAGAAAATCACAGCTCGGGTTCATACCCGGTTAAGTGTCCCAAATTCTCACAGGTCAAGTTCACATCCGGAGACCGAGACCACGCAATGATTTGATCCCGAAAACCGTAGCTCATGATAGAGGGGGGTAGCAGCACTATCGATTATTGATCCAGCAGCGCGTTGTGCTGGACGTGTACTTTGAAAGAAGCCGTTTTGTCGGCTGCCGATGAGCAGAACCCATGATCGCCATGCATGACAGCATGGAAGGGGGCAGGCTCCAGAGATTTTCAGAAATTCAGAGACGAGGATTGCCTCGATGGCACATCGACATGACACCAATCATCCCGTGTAGGATCCATTTGGTGCGCGCACGCGCACACACACACAGAGTACATATCATCATGCCACACATCTTAAAGCATCAGCTGATGCACGCGTTGCGTTGGAGAGATCACAGAGAGTTCTTCCTTTGCAACGGAGTGTCGTAGCAGATGACTAACTGATGATGGTGTTTTGCAACTGGCTGCAGGCTCCTCCCATTTGTAGATAGATGCGGCTCTAGCTTTTTCAAGTCCCTTGTGTGGTAATATTCGATCTTTTTCTGCGTTTTCCGCAAAGCGTTAAATGCTGGACGGAACTCCGAACTCGTCTTGGAGATGGCGTTTTTCTTTTCCGTTGTGTTCAGTTTGTCTCTTCCTTAAGTTTGTTGACAGCAACACAGCACTAACCGAGGATTCAGGATGCATCGGCAAACTGATAAGAGCTTCTTGGTGAATTTATTGCGCGAGCAGAAGCACCACTGTAGCAGATATTTCGCACGAAAATGATGTCAAATATCTCATTGTTTGTTCTGGCTTGTTAACCAAAATCACACTCATAATCATCATGCATGGACCTACGCACATTTTTGGTTGATACAGTGGATGAAGTAATATGTAGTAGTGTAAATTAGACATATGAATTCTTTAACCAGACATTTGAATTCCCCATCAGCAGTATTCTCTGCGGCCTGAACATATGGGGGCCGGGGACATTTCAGACGTTTGCCCCATTTCTGACAGCCGCGGAGAATAATGCACAGTAGCATGGCGTTTGTCACACATATCCGTTCTAAGCCCCACAAAACCAAGTGGATCCTCTGTGCTGTGCTGTGCATTGCATGTACCTGCAGGGCTGCAAAGAGAACACAGGTACATTGGCTCTGCAGATCTGCATATTATCTTACGGCCTTTGCAGAAACGGAGAGAATAATTCTCCCCCATTGGATTGCATGTATACAAGCAGCAGAATGTTGTGCACATCCACTGCTATTACACAATAGTATCAGCCTGTGACCAATGTGCTGTCACTGGGCTACAGGATCATCGTGCCACTGCCAGTTTGTCACCGATTTGATTGGCTTATCTCCTGGGAGATTCTCCTTTTAAGGGTTTAAGTACCCCTGATTCTAATCAGGTTCAGGGCAAATGATTATACGTACTACTGTACAATCCCTGCAGAAAATTACGCACAAAGACCAAATATCAAGGTTTGCTATGGACTGAATATATCTTTTGTTTGCGCCTGGACGTCGGTAGCTACCCCAGATATTAATTAATTATTTGAATTAGTGATTTTGTACCAAATGATCGAACCAGCTCATGCTTAGCATGAAGCTAATAAATTCTCCCGTTTATTGCAGTACTCGAATACAAATAGTAGGTGTACTACTCGCCATGGAGTCTGCTCTAATTCGTTCTCAAAAGCTTCTGGAGACGAAGGATTGGTTTGGTCGCTTTCTCGGTTGCTGCTCGGCTCGCGTGTCGCATATGACGCTTTACTTAATGCTGCTAGTAGTACTCATAATTTCCATTAATTAAGACTCATTTAATTAGTAATGCACCAAATCCTTAAATCCAGCCAGATCAGATCAAAGTCATCCTAGGGTAAAACACTCTGATCTGATGGATCACTAGCCACTAAATTAATCCGGTGATTGATCATGTGTGGAAGCAAGTTTTGGCTCGTTACAAGGTACTATTACATAACACTACGCTGTCCTGTATAGCTATCTCATCTATCTCTTCCCATGCATTTTTCACCTACTAGCTAGTACTCCATCCGTTTTAAAATGTTTGACACCGTTGACTTTTTAGCACATGTTTGACCGTTCGTCTTATTCAAAAATTTTTGTGAAATATGTAAAACTATATGTGTACATGAAAGTATATTTAACAATAAATCGAATGATATGAAAAGAATAAATAACTACTTAAATTTTTTGAATAAGACGAATGGTTAAACACGTACTAAAAAGTCAACGGTGTCAAACATTTTGAAATGGAGGGAGTAGTAACCTGTGATGAGTTTCCTTCATCACCCACGTCTCTTTCTACTAAAAAGACCATCATGTAGCTCGCCTCTAGTATTTAAGGGGCACCACCACCCCTCCCACTTTATTTCCTCTATACAACGATTTCCTCTTGTCACCCTGAATCTACTTCTGCTGCAAAAGGTAATTAGCATATCCTAACTATTTATCACCTCATCCCTCAAGTGTGTTCTTCTACTTTCTTAGATGTACTTTTTAAACTTTTCTGTGCATAAACATCTCATGTGCTGATTCTTTTTGTGTGTTCTATGTGCTTGCATACCATGTCCGTTTGGTTCGATTCGATTTTTTAAGCATCCGTGTGGTTTGTTTTTGTTCTAGCTTAGCTAGCTAGCTAGCAAAGAGGTGTCATGGATACATACCAGCTTTAATTTGATTTGGTTTGCTCTACCTTTAAAAGTGTGTGAATCATCTCCGGTCCTAGTTTATGCATATCTGTGTGCATATGTACAAATGTTTCAGGACAGGAGTTGGCATAACAGCTAACAAATCTTACATATATAGCAGCAATAAGCAAGGAGCAGTTAGCCAGGTAAAGCTCTAGCTAGCTAGCTTAGGCAGCAATGGAGCAGCATCAGGGCCAGGCAGGCATGGACTTGCCCCCTGGCTTCCGCTTCCACCCGACCGACGAGGAGCTGATCACGCACTACCTCGCCAAGAAGGTCGCCGACGCCCGCTTCGCCGCCCTCGCCGTCGCCGAGGCCGACCTCAACAAGTGCGAGCCCTGGGACCTGCCATGTAAGCAACCTCTCCTCTACTTAATTACCTCTGCAATCTGCATGCAGTGATGAACTGATGATTGATATATACATGGATCATTGGATTGGCTAGCTAGCTAACATCTGTTGATGCTGCGATGGAATTATTGGCAGCTCTGGCGAAGATGGGGGAGAAGGAGTGGTACTTCTTCTGCCTCAAGGACAGGAAGTACCCGACGGGGCTGAGGACGAACAGGGCGACGGAGTCCGGGTACTGGAAGGCCACGGGGAAGGACAAGGACATCTTCAGACGGAAGGCCCTCGTCGGCATGAAGAAGACGCTCGTTTTCTACACGGGGCGCGCTCCCAAGGGGGAGAAGTCTGGCTGGGTCATGCACGAGTACCGCCTCCACGGCAAGCTCCACGCCGCCGCCCTCGGCTTCCTCCACGGCAAGCCCGCGTCGTCCAAGGTACACGAACGCACGTACGCCGCGTGCGTGTGTTTGGTTGTGACCAGTTTGATCGATCGATCGATCGATCGATTGAGCAGGCCGGACTGACACGCCGTGGGTTTTTCTTGTTGGTGCGTAGAACGAGTGGGTGTTGTGCAGGGTGTTCAAGAAGAGCCTCGTGGAGGTGGGCGCGGCGGGAGGGAAGAAGGCGGCCGTGGTGACGATGGAGATGGCGAGGGGAGGGTCGACGTCGTCGTCCGTGGCGGACGAGATCGCCATGTCGTCCGTCGTCCTCCCTCCGCTGATGGACATGTCCGGAGCCGGCGCCGGCGCCGTCGACCCGGCGACGACGGCGCACGTGACCTGCTTCTCCAACGCGCTGGAGGGCCAGTTCTTTAACCCGACGGCAGTACACGGGCACGGCGGCGGCGACTCCTCGCCGTTCATGGCGAGCTTCACGCAGTACGGGCAGCTGCACCACGGCGTGAGCCTGGTGCAACTCCTGGAGAGCTGCAACGGCTACGGCGGCCTCGTCGACATGGCAGCGTCCGGCAGCCAGCTGCAGCCGGCGGCGTGCGGCGGCGAGCGGGAGAGGCTTAGCGCGTCGCAGGACACCGGCCTCACCTCCGACGTGAACCCGGAGATCTCGTCATCCTCCGGCCAAAAATTCGACCACGAGGCCGCGCTATGGGGCTACTAAGGTTTGATATGATCAGCGCCGTGTACGTTAATCGCGGGCGATTAGCGAAGTAGCGATTACTGTAAATAAAACCATGAGATCGCGATCGAGGCATCTACCAAGGTTCGCTTAATTTGCTTGTACCTATAGGTGTAGATTATTTGGTGATTTGGGAGATGTAATTAGCATTGTTTGTTTGTAATTCGTATCAGAATGATCGATGCAGTATTGTTTGGAGGGTTAGTTAAGCAATTGGCCACTCCTCAGTTGCCAGTTAATTAGTTAGAGTTGCTTAATTTAGCTCTTTCTAAAAAGCTAGCAGAGACTAATAGCTAACTGTGATCTCATCCTGAACCTAAAAGTTTGACCTGCTGTGTGATATAGTAGCTGGTACCATCAGCTATAGCTAATCTAGCATTTAAAGCATGATTCGGTTTGGTCCATGACTAGCACATCTCAACCATCGTACACAAAGCTCTAATCCCCAATTAGTGATCAGCTAGTAGCTCCATTGTCCTTGGGCGATCACATCACATCGCAACCCTTACACAGTGCACATGACACAACAGTGGCCCCCGGCTAGCTATCTATGCAGCTTAGCTTAGGTTGGCACACACAAGAACACACAACGCCCTACATGTCACCAATTTGGTTCCCATGCCTTGTCTCTACGCAGGCATGGGGCCCCTAATGATATGAGCAAGCACTTGTCATATGAATGTGTGGGACCCACCCTGATTGATGGTGGCTTCTCCATAGAGCTAGCCCATATGTTGTTTTCAATCAAAATCCTGAGAAATTAAATATAATTATATGTGGCAGCTAACAGGGGCCAGTTAGGTCAACTAATCAAAGCTCCTGCATTTTGCCTCCCTGCCATGAGCTAGCAAATGCTGCAAGGACAACTGTGCTGCTTCTAGTAGATCTCTTATGCCTACTAGTCCTGAATTATAGAGAAAAAAAACTCTTCTGCTGTAACCCAAAAAAAAAAACCATGTAGGGCAGCTCGCATAGATTTTATATGAGTACGATCTCCTTTTGTTTAGTGTGTCTCGTATCTTTGGACATCATCTCCCTCGGGAATTCTATTCCATCCTGCCAATTAAAGATGTCAGCAAAGACAACTGTCCATTTGATAAAGCTTTGTACTTCCAACGCAATATCCATTGTGCTCGATCAAATTAAATCAGTGTGCATATGTCTATTGTACTCGTACAATGGATTGTTGCATCCGCTTAGTTTATTGGACATTTTAATGGAGTGTACTAGAGATATTACTCCAAGATATATACAACTGTTTGTGGTTTATTAGTCTCCTTTCCATTATTCTCAGATAAAAGTACAGCTTTTATTTTTTTATATTACTTTAATGTTGATAGTGGGCCACCGCCACCCCTATCACTTGTGTGAGAATATTTGTGGAATTTTTGTGCCCCCTAATTCAAATGCTCCTGATTCCCAATTCCCAATTTGTCCTTTGATTCTGTTGCAACACACAAACAAATAAGCTATTTTTTTTAAAAAAAAAATCTCAATTGTGCTTGTACTTTCCTACCCCGGCCCAACAAAGACGAAGAGGAAAAAAACTAAACGAACAAAGAAAGTAAAATATAAAAACAACTTAATTATATGTGAAACTAGAAAAGTTATTAATTAATATTATGCAAAAATCTCTAACAACATCAACAAATCAAATAGAATATTCATGTAGTAGTTATATCGATATATACAGTCGATTATGAAATATTGCAGGGGATTCGGGGATCAGGTGCATTTAAACAATGATGATTAATTATGTGCCATTCTTTAATTTGTCATTGTTAAATACTTGTAATTAGCTAGATTAATTTGTAAAACTTTCAACATGGAAATGTTCAGATTTCAATTCACAAAACTACCTTTCGCACGAATTCCGATCTCGAAAACTACAAAGATATTTTCAAAAAAAAACATAACGAACAAAATAGTGTGCATTCAAGCTTTTTAATAGAGCAAGCTAGTCCTTCATTCACAATCAAGATAACATCCTGCAAAAGCGAGCCCCCTAAAGCAGCATATCTCTCATTGTGAATGGAGACCGTCAATGTCAATGAGGGAGCGAGTAGCTGAAAAAATGTAGTTTGGGGATCAGCATTAGGGTTTGGGACCCCTGAAGTGTAGCTCAGTCACAATGCCAGCACTAGCTAGGGGCTATTTTGCCTTGGAATAATGAGATATGAGGGCTGGTGGGTGGGATAGAGATCGAAATGAGCGAAGAATTAGGACGAAATGAGGTGGGAAAAAAATAGATAGCTAGTGTGTAAAAGTAACCCCATGATGTGTAGGAAATTACTTTCATTTCCTATTATCCAAACGAGTAGCCTAGTAGATGATGGATAATAATAAGTAACGACGATGCTAGATTTTCAGTACTAAAATCATGGATATATTCAAGTTGTGCACAACGTCTATTATGGGACTCGTGAGAGAGGGGTATTAATTAGTACTGTGAGCTATGTCAAAGTGACAAGTCAAGCATAAGTGGATAGATGAACCTTATTGTCAATAACCTAACCTCTCCAGCATCGAGGATAGCCCCATGAAGCTACTTGCCCATTATGCAATGGAAAATGGAGTCTTGTGGACACCTCATGTACATTATATGTATACTCCAAGTAATTAGTTTAGGGCTTGGAGCGCGCAACGTTGGTCCTTTCTCTCCCTCTCTCTCCATCTACTTTAGGTAATTTTTAGATTTAGTGGAGTTACTACAAGGATGGGATTGTATCAAGGGGCATCAAAGTGTTACAGGTTTTATTCATGTAGCACTTTGTAAGTTGCGGATTGTTCGAACGGAACACTCTGTAAATACATATGTTACTGAGTGCTTGTCCGTTATACTAGAGGAATGACAAACACATAATAAAATGTAGGTTTCTTCGCAATGAATAAGAATATTTGTTAATTTAACCAATTAATGTTTGTTTAGTGTGTTAAATTTGTTGTAAGTGTGGTGTGAGCTCTCGTAAGCCTTTTTCTCAATGACCCATGGTTGTTGAGTATTTGTAATGCTTTTCTGACAACTTCATTCTTCGTCGATATTTCACCAGCCTGGCAAAAAATGAACATGGATTCCCATGGTGGTGCCACTTGTCATTCTTAGCTATCGTGCAAATTCAGTGTACCATTTGATATCACTACATGCTCAAAACAAACATTTTGATTTTATAGCTAATAACTAATACTCCCTCCGTTTCATAATGTAAGACTTTCTTTGTATTGTCCATATCCATATGGATGTTAATAAATCTAGACATAATATTTATATGAATGTAGGCAATGCTAGAAAGTCTTACATTATGAAACGGAGGAAGTAGATATAAGGAGATAATGATGATATCCCTAAAATACTATAATAAAATTAATTAGTTTTTAGTAAGTGGGACATAAACTGTTGACTCAATTAACATATTAGATATAACCAGCCTTCGTTGGTAACTTTTAAAAACTTTGATTTAAGTCAAATGTAAAATGATGCTTTGGACGCAATGGAACCATCTCTCCGTCTTTGCGCACGAGACAGAGAATACTTCTGAAAATAGAAACATACCTAGGTAGAGACGATCCAACAAGAGATTCTCTTGATTCTCTCTTATAGTGCCTTGTGAGGTGAATGGTTTTCTTTCAAACAATGGTAGTACAACTTCCGCCCTATACCCCAACTAAGAAATGCACACAACTATATTTCTAGACATAAGGATTTGAATTCCGATGGTTAAAGTCATACATCACAATTCCACCATCATCCTAATACATGGTGCTTCTCCAAGTGAATGCTTTGGTTTGTAAAACAAGTAATTAAGTTAAGTATGTTATTTGCGGTAGATGTAAAGAGAAGGGTGTAGGTGGGTAATTAACCTGACTTTTCCCCTCACTTTTTAGGTTGCTATTTTATACAGTACCTTTGATGTTTATGCAAGATGCACCTTTAATTAGTTGATTCCAACCCGGTCAGTTTAGGATATAACAAGTGGAGAATTTCATGTGAACTCAAGAAAGGAAAGGCAGATGGTTAGTTTAGAGTTTCAGAAATATACTAGGTTGGATTCTGTGGGCAAAACTATTAGCAGTTTGATAAACGAATGAAATTGACACCAAAACTATATTAATTATCCTCTATCATAACCTTATACAAGTGTTCATATATATAGCAACTCGATCTTCACTTATAAAATCGACCGCTATATATATGTTTATTATGCCCATGCCCAACCCCTGCTGTGTCATCACGGAACCCCACCGAGAAAAAGAAAGGGGTCGAGAGGGGCTGCAAACCGGCTAACTCTTGGCTCTCCGCCTATCGGTCTATGAAAAGAACAAGCCACAACTTGGCGATAGCTAGATATATATTCCAGCTCTGATGTGTCGTTGGAACTGTCAAGCCATGCCATCAATCTCTCCCACGAGAAAATATTCCAAACCCCCTCATCAGATCAGCGCCTTGTAGGCTTCTGCTGCTCACCAGTAACCCCCACTCCCCCAGCTTGTTCCCTTGCGCCAAGTAGCACAAACTAATATAACTACTAGTAGTAGATTACTAGATTATTATTATTAACCGACTTACCGACCTAGTACCTTATTGGCGACTGCCTATGTATACGAATCTACAGCTAGCAGCAGCTGCAGCCGCATGCAACGCGATCTAGCTTGTTGCGCGCTGTGCATGGCGTCAGCGCTAGAGAAGGGCATGTATGTACTTACGCTCTGGTCGTTTGTCGCGCGCCGATCCATCCGGTGGCGCGCGTGCAGGGAGGCAAGCCGAGATGTGTCGTTCACGGGGCGCGACGGACAACGATCCCCATGGGTGTGGGGGAAGCGGGGGAGAGGGAACACGCGCGCCTCCATGCAAAGCTAGCTAAGCTAGAGTCCATTGTTGGCATGTGGCGGATAGTTTGTACGCACGTATAGGAGGAGGCGCGACTGCGCGAGGGACAGAATGTGTACCGATCGACGCGTCGCTTTCCGCCCCTCTGCATGCGCGCGGAGCATTCGCGTCGGTCGCCCGGCACGCGTACGGCGTGCGACCGCGCGGTCGCAATGGGATTGTATGGCATATGCCACGCCGCGAGGCTGACACAAACGGCGGGTGTTTGAGGCCAAACAAAAGGCTTAACAAGCAAAAAGCCAGCATGTATACCTGTTAATCAGGTCGGCAGGTCTTTGGGGCTTTGATGTACTGATGAACCGTTGTTGAGGCCCATCTAAAGAGTGAAGATAAGCCTGTTGCCATATGCGGCATCTCGGCCTTGCAAACGCCAGGCCCATTAATTGAGTGAGAAGCCCTATGCGGCCTGTCTAAAGAAAAGGCAGCCTAAACAAAAAGAGAACAGTTCACGTTCA